TGCCTGTAGCATTCGTTGGCGGTGGCGACGCACAGGGGCACGGGCTCCACTTCGATCGACAAGTACAAACCTGCGCGGGTCTTTGGCTGGTGAGATCAGCAGCGAGAAATGTTGACGTCGTCCTCGATGGTGCGATCCCAGAAGATACGTTCCCATTCACGAGGCGATCTGGCCGCTTTCCTTCAGGATGTCCGCCCACTTCCGAACATGGAGCCGCAGCAAGCTCAACAACGTCCAGGTGCAAAACGGGATGCTGATCCCGAGTTGGGCGGCGCTGCTCGCGCGGTCCAAAAGCATGTCACAACAAAAAACATGGACCTGATATATTCATCATGAGCTGGTATAAGAGTGAAGGGGCCACGGCCTGTTCGCCAGATGCCAAACTCAGCACAATGTCAGCGTGTGATTAACAAATCCGTGGCGTAGGTGGCGCATTTCTGACTATAACAATAACGAGCGCATGAACAAAGGAATGAATGAATCAATACAAAGATCAAGAAACTAGTTACTTGATGGCACGACGAATAAGACTAATAATAATAATACGAATAATAATGATAATAACTAGAATACGAAAAATGACGACACCTATGATACGAATAAGACATATATACATATACATATATATATATATATATATGATTGTGATGTGTAAATATAAATATATAGCCACAAAAAACTAAATACGATATATATGAAGATATTGTATTAAACAAAAGAAAGAATCCGAAAAAAACAAGCAAACAAACAAACAAACAAACAAACAAAACACAAACAAACAAACAAAACAAAAAAACTCCACTGCTCGGGCGAAATCGCGGGGGTGGCGCCCGCCAAATGGAAACACAACGGCGGCGGCGCTGGCGATGAGCGCCGACGCCCAGCCGCCAGCCACAACGCGACAGAAACAGCACTGACTGGGGGAGGGTGAAAGGAGGGAGGCACGGGCGGCAGAAGCAAGGGCCGTGAGCCAGGGCGACACCTGTTCGCAATGAAAGAGAACTGCTGTCGGCGCTCGCATCCGCACTTCCCATGCGCTTGTCTGTCGAACCGATGCGCCTCCCTCGCCCTGGCCGCAACCAGGGGGACGCCAGCTGCCTCGAAGGCCAGCGAGCAAACCGGGCTGGACGAAAGGAGGGGGGCAAAGGAGGGGGGCGTGGCCAAGCGGCGATTTGCCAAGCAACTCACATAGTAATGTTCCGAGCGCCTGCTGGCGTCGAAAGCGGCCACGCATCGAGGACTGCCCCTCGGCGGGGCGACCGAAACCAGCTGCGCGCAGCAGGTTTCGCAACCCCCCGGTCCTTTCCCGGCCTTTCGTCCGACCCGAGCAAGACGGGCAGTCCTCGTCCCCCCGTCTGTCGCGGTCTGTCTGTAGTCGTCGACGACGACGACGACGAGTAGGCCCGGCGTAGTCGTCGACGACGACGACGACAACGACGACGACCGTCGTCGTCGACGAACACAAAGGGAACGACGACGAAGACGAGGACGATGACGAGGAGGACGAGGACGAGGACGAGGACGAGGACGAGGACGAGGACGAGGACGAGGGGACGAGGAGGACGGACGGCGGACGGCGACGGCGACGACAACGACGACGCCGACGACGACGACGACGACGCACTGCGGATGCCATACGGCGGGGGGGGTGTTGCGCAGGCCCGCCGCTGTAGTCGACGGCGCCGACGACGACGACGACGACGACGACGACGACGACAACAAATGACGATGACGACGACGACGACGACGAATACAACGCACTGCGGATGCCGCATGGGGGCGGGGAGGGCTGCGCAGGTCCGCTCTAGCCGACGACGGCGACGACGACGACGACGACGACGACGACGACAACGACGCACTGCGGACGCCGCACGGGGAGGGGTGCGTAGGCCCCCTGTAGTCGACGACGACGACGACGACGACGACGACGACGCCTGAGAGGGGGAAAGCCTCGGTTGTAGGCGACCCTTATAACTACATCTAAACTAAAGGCTACCGTTTTGAGGCCGTCATGCAGGGGGGTACACGATTCCCTCACGCGACGACCCCCTGTCGCTCGTGATTAAAGAAATGCTTCGCGCCCCGCGGGGTCTATTCATGAGCGCCCGGGGGGGGCATGCCTGATGTTTAATCACAAGCTGACATTCTGGCGGGAATTAGAATTGCAAGATCGACACCAAGATGTCGACGCCCGCGCGCCTACGCACGCCGGCCGTCCTGTATGTTCACTTCTGCTCGGCGCTGCAGGACGTGGGTGGGATCTCGTCTGCTACCGCTTTCGCGGCTGTTGCCACCGCCAGTGAGGAGGAGTGGTCCTATTCGTTCGGATGCGAGCTTCGCGGCTGCCTGTCACTTCCCCACGTCCTTGGTCCACTCTACCACGCTGCATGGGTAGGTTGGGTCCGCATCCAGCTCTGGAGACAGCGATGGAAGAGTCTCCGCGGTGGCCACGGCTGCGTTCTGCCGGCAAAGCAAGGGCTGGGCGCCGTACTGTCCACTAGTGAGGCTGTCATCGTTTCTCTCGTCTGTGAAGAATTAAGAAAGAAAATGGCCGTTTTTCTCGTCAGCGACGAAAGCGAACGGCGGTAAAGTGGGAGAGCTCGACCAATCTGGCGTCGCCGACTTTGCTGGCGAAGGTGAAGGCTCGGGGTTTTCCTTGAACACGAGTCCCGTTTACAGTCTTACTTGAAGGCGGCAAGTCCCCGAGAGGGTTTCCCAAGGTGGGCAAGCGTAGGCCAGTGTGACCCGCTCGTACCCCACCCGGCATGACTGTGAAGTGCCTTTTCTTGCCCTGACGCGCCTTCTTGCCCATGCAGGGCGCTCAAGGAGCACTTGCCGTGGATCTTCGCGTTGAAGGCGAAGCACTCACTGTTCAATGCCATGAGCGGCAACGGAGCAGGGACTTTTCAGTGCCCGCTCCGCTACCAAGAAATAGGGCACCGGACAGTGCCCCAGAGAAAATGAAACAATAAGAATATGACTCAAGATGTGGAGAAAATACAGAATGTAGGGGAAAATGCTTTGCAATGAAAGCATTGCAGTCTGCTTTGCAGCCGCTTTTACCTGGAAGCTTGAGCCGGAGGCGGCGGAACGCACAGCAGAAGAGATGGGGGATTATGCGAATACCACCTTCGACGAGGATCGCGCCAAAGAGGAGGTGAAACTAGACCGAACATGGGAGCCGGCCGCACGAATGGGGCCGGCTCCGCTACCACGTCGAAGACAACGTGGCGACGTCACACGGTAGATCGCAGGCAATATCATAGGAATGGTATTGCAAAGGTGACGGTGAGGATGGCGCGATGCTCCTTTCTTCTTCTTTTTTCCACCTGCAACGGACTGTTGTGTCAGTGCCCTCTCCACGTGTACTGTACAGTTGAACGGTTGAGGTATGAGCTCATCTTGAGCCAAACGCCCACCGGTGGGGGGGGCAAATGGTAACCAGACGCCGCGCGACTGCTATCCCACTACTAGGATGGCGCGATGCTCCTTTCTGGTGGGACGCATGTGTCCATGCGTCGACATTTGGGGCGCGCGTGCCCTGAGCCGAGGCAGCAGCGGAGCGCGTGCCGCGTCCCCCCAGACGCCTCCCTTTAAAAGTCCCCCTCCCCTCCTCCTCCTCCTCCTCCTCCTCCTCCTACTCCTCCTCCTCCTCCTCCTCCGCCTCCTCCTCCTCCTCCTCATCCTCCTCCTCCTCCTCCTCCTCCTCCTCCTCCTCCTCCTCCTCCTCCTCCCCTCTGGGGCACCCGCCCCTCCACAGCACGTGGTGTGCCCAAAACTGTTGTTGCCCAGTCGCACTCGCAAGGAGCCATGTTGCAACATGTGGGCATATATTGACAAGAGAAACAGGACAGGACATACGGCAGTGTCAAACGCTCCACCGGCACTCAAGCCTAGGATTCCGACTCTTCCGAGAGCCCCTACAAGAAATGCCCAGATCTTAAGAAGAGTGCAATGTTGGACAGCGCTGGCAGAGCCCAGGAACCAGCGCCGAGGAATCCACAACTCAAGAGGTTGGAGGAGCTCGAGCAGCACCTCAACGGGGCACGCATCGACAGCTTAAACAAGCAGCAGAATGGGCCCGCCACTTTCCCAGGGCCGCGATCCTCTGTAATGAACCCAGCACGGCCCAAGTTACGTAGGGGAAAGTATCCTATTGCATGGGTGCATTGCGTGGCATTGCTTGGCATATTGTTTGGCCTATTGCTTGGCATGTTGCTTGGCATCTTGCTTGGCAGATTGCTTGGCAAATTGTTTGGCACATTGCTTAGCATATTGCTTGACATTGCTTGGCATTGCTTGGCATGGCTTGGAACTAGGTGGCATTGCTTGTCAGTGCTTGGCAGTGCTTGGCATTGCGTGGAATTGCTTGGCATTGCGTGGCATTGCTCGGCATTGCGTGGCATTGCTGTGCAATTCTTGGCTTTGCGTTGCATTGCTTGGCATTGCTTGGCATTACTTGGCTGTGCTTGGCATTGCTTGGCATTGCTGTGCAGTTCATGGCATCGCAGACACTGCATGCCGAAGCAACAAGGAACCAAGACCAAGGAACCAAGCAACCAAGATCAAGGAACCAAGGCACCGGAACCAAAGAACCAAGACCAAGGAACTACGGAACAAGACCAAGGACCGAAAGAACCAAGACCAAGGAGCCAAGGAACCAATACTAAGCAACCAAGGAACCAAGATCAAGGAATCCGAGGAAGGCAGCAAAGAACGAAGGAGCCAGGGAACCAAGGAACCAAGACCAGAAGAAAAACCCGAGAAGCAAGGAGAACAAAAATGAAGACGATGACCAGCAGCAAGTTTTGCCCCGAACCACACCGACTCCTGCTGGACAGGCACGTCTCGTGACAAGTGGACGACGTCCGCGGCGGTACTGGCAACGAATCCTTTTCAGAATGAAGAGGAGGTGCAGTCGGTCTTTGCTACCATTATTTCCGTCCACATGTTGGTCCTCTTGAGGATGGAGGGGAAAGGATGGAGGAGGCCCCTCGCTCCGCAGGGACTTCTTCCACATTCGGCAAGTCCTTCTCGGACCACATCGTCGCTGTGCCATCCTCGGGGTCCGATCGCGGTGCTCCCGTACTGTTCACGAACTGGACACACACATACACACACATACATACACACACACATACATACATACATACATACATACATACATACATACATACGTACATACATACATACATACGTACATGTATACATACAGACAGACAAACAGACAGGCAGGCATACATACATACATGCATACACACATGCATGCATAGACAGTCATTAATTAAATCAGTCAGTCATTAATTCATACATTCATTCGTACTGACATACATACATATATATACACTACATACGCACATGCTTGCACACGTGCACACGTGCACCGTACATACGTATACACGTACTCACGTACATACGTGTGCACGTGTATACGTACATGTACACACATGCATGCATACATTCATACGTATACACTTACGTACATACATACATACATACCTACATGCACACAAACGTCCATACAGGTATACATGCATACATGCATACATGCATACATGCATACATGCATATGTGCATGCATACATGCATGCATACATGCATGCATGCAGACAGACATACAGGCAGGCATGCAAACATGCATATCCACCTACCTACCCAAATACAGACAGACATGCATGCATGCAGGCAGGAATGCATACCTGCATACATAGACACATACACACATATAGACCGACCTACATGTATAAATGCGTACATGCATGCGTATATACATACATACATGGATTACATGCATACGTAGATACATACATACATACGTACATGCATGCATACATGCATACATACATACATAGTCAGTCTTTAATTCATACATTCATTCATTGGTACTTACATACATACCTATATACACACGTACATACGCACATACGTGCACACGTGCACCGTACATAAGTATATACGTATATGTACACACATACATGCATACATCCATACAAATATTCGTACGTACATACACACATACCTACATGCACACAAACGTCCATACAGGTATACATGCATACATGCATACATGCATACATGCATATGTGCATGCATACATGCATGCATGCATACATACATGCATGCATGCAGACAGACATACAGGCAGACATGCAAACATGCATATCCACCGACCTACCTACATACATACAGACATGCATACATGCAGGCAGGGATACATACCTGCATACAGATACACATACATACATACATATAGACAGACATACATGCATAAATGCATGCACGCATGCGTATATACATACATACAGGATTTACATACATACGTAGATACATACATACATACATACATGCATGCACACATATATGCCTTACATTACATCACATTACACTACATGGCATTACATTACATTACGTACATACATACATACATACATACATACATACATACATACATACATACATACATATATATACACACACACACACACACTGTGGACGGACCCGGCGGTCCCTTCACAGCGCCCCCTCGGCATCCTGGACCTCCCAGACAGGCTCGGGTAGCCCAAGAGAGCCAAAGGGCGGAGGGAGGCTCACGAGATTGCGTCAGAGTGCGCCAAAAGGCGTCCGAGAAGGTCGAGCGGGCTCCCAAGCCCGCCCAAGAGCCACCAAAAGATGGCGGTGGCCCCAAGAGGCTGCAAGACGGCTCTGCCCAGGGCCCCCGTTTCAGCGTCAGATGGCTCTAAAGAGGGCCCCCAAAAAACTCCAAGGGACCGACATGAGCCCCCCAAAAAAACCCAAGACCGCCCCAAGATTGCCCCAAATGGCCGCCAAGACGTCACAAGTATGGCTCCAAGCGAGCCCACGATCGCACTAAGATGCGCCCAAAGACCCTGCCAGACAGCTACCAAATGACCCCAGAGAGCCCCACGAGGCCCCAAGGGATCCTTGAATTTGCCCCAAGATGGCCCGGAGAGGCCCGAAGAGAGCTCGGAGAGACCCAAAAGTATCCCCTCTTTTTAATTTTGCGCCCTCAGCGATCCCTCGCGCCCTCTCAAGGGGGAAGCGCTGTTCGTCCTCGTGTCCTCGTGCTGGCCAGATGACCCCGCCTTCGGTTCCTTGGCCTGGCGACTTTCGTGAACCACCGCCCTCCTCTCTTGATCTTCGCTCCCCTCCCTGCCGAGTTTCTCCTCCTCGCCACCTCTCCGAGCTTACTGGTTTGTTCCACATGCTGGCTGATTTCCTCGCCTCAGATGCATTCCTCCAGCTCTCCCCGTGACCTCCAAGAAAGGCCCTAGGGGCCCGCGAAGGGCCCAAGAGACCCACAGTGAAGAGGCCCCAAAGGGGCCCCACGAGAACCTCAATACTAGCTCAATAGCCCCCCACTAGGAGCGTGAACCCCAGGACACCAAGACCCTGAAGAGCCCCCCAAAACCACAAGCCCGAGAAGCTGGGAGAACAGCGCTGACCTGGCCCGACCCGCTCTGAGCCCCCTCGGGCCAGCGCCTTCCGTGACTCGCGCTCCCGAGCTCGACTCCCACTGCTCGCCGCACCCGCGAGGGCCGCGCACCTTCGGCGCCGGTCCTCTCGTCTCGGAATCCTGCCTCCCCGACCCCGCCGTCGTCGCGCGCGCCAGCCGCTGCGCGGCGCGGCGCGCACTTCTTACCTCTTACACCTTCTCCCCGACTCGACCCAATTCGCCCCCTGAGATCCTTCAGTTCGGCGATCTGGCCCTTGAGCGTCTCCATGGCGACTGGGAGACGCTCAGGGACCAGATGGCCGAACTGAAGGATCTCAGGGGGCGTACCCAATGACCTCCCCAACCCCCCCAGGCGCCCGCGAGACGACGCGACTCGTCAACAGCGCGCACGTGCCTGTGGCCCCCCTTCACCGCACAGGCGCCTCTCGCGCGCGGCGTGCGCGCACCCCCCGACGTACGCGATCACGCGAGCAGAAGGCATGTGCATCTGCGCGCGCACCCGCCATGCTAACACGTTGACCTGCCCCGCGCCATCAGCGCTATTTGCCCATGGGTCGGAAGAAGTAGGTAGAAACATGAAGTATGAAGGCGTTGAAAATAGATTGGTGTCCGCCCGCCCCCTAAAGATGACGGAAAAGGTAACCACTCAATCATTGAAGTAGGAAGGCGCTGAAAGTAGATTGGCATAATTGTGGGATTACAAAAGTACCTACTTTCAACGACCGATGGGTACCCGCTCCCATGCCCACGCAACACCACCATCCTCTTGGCACCGCGCTCGCACGCCATGCGCTATGCCAATCATGGCCTGCTACAGTTCGCGTATGCTATGAAGCACGTCAATCAACTAGAGGCAGCAAACGATTACCAAGGGGCGTACCCAACCCAACTGCAACTGGTATCAGCATCAATCCAAGACGAATGCATATTTGACAGGTCGCATTGATCTGCGAACTGCATCGGGACCTGCCTTGCGCGCACCGAGAAAGCACTGCGAGTGGCACAAAAGGGAAACTCAGTTACAGGTCCTGTAATATCGACGGTTGAGCAATCGGCAACGCCCAGGTAGGCGAAGCATATTTGGATCTGAGTAGGGGGCGTCAATCCGCTGAACCTCCCTGGAGCTCACAGAAATACTGTCAACTGCGCTCAGGGAGGCGATTAAAAGTTTGAATCTGCGTACCGTTGCATTCCGCTAGACCTCCCAGCAGTCCACTAAGTGCCGACGGATGCTCAGTTGGCAGGGCTCAGGGAGGGAGGGGGGTACACGATTTGGATCTGCGTAGCGCACCATTCCGCTGGACTTCCCATGATCAAGCCCACGGAAGAGTCGACAGTTACGCATTTGGCAGCACCTAGGAAGGCGAGGTCTAGTTTGAATATGCGTAGCGTAAACAATTTGGATATGCGTAGCGCGCTACTCTGCTGAACTTCGCTGTGCTCACTGAAGAGTCGACAGTTAAGCATTTGGCAACGCCGAGGAAGGCGAGGTCTAGACTGAATCTGCGTAGCGCGTCACCCTGCTGGACCTCACAGAAAACCACCAAGCTGCCGACGGATGCGCACTTGGCATTGCCCAGGAAGGGCAGTACACAATTTGGATATGCGTAGCGCACCGCTCTGCTGGACTTCCCATGAGCTCACGGAAGTGTCGGCAGCCGATCACCTGGCAGCTCCCTGGAAGGCGAGGTCAATCTTGGATGTGCATATCGCGTTACTCCGCTGGACCCCCCCACGAGCTCAGGAAAGGTGCCAGAAGTTACTGCTTTCGGCAACGCCCAAGGAACGGGGTAATAACTTGGGCCTGAGTAGCGTAACGGGTCAGAGGCGTGCTAAGATCTCCAGTAACTGGTTAACAATAACTCTATACTTCGCGCGCGCGGAGCGGCCCCTGGGGGTCCCCGGCCGGAAAGTACCCCGGCAAGGTCCTGGGACACCCCCGGCAAACTCGGGTCAGAGATGGTTGTCCTCCTGGGTGCGACCTTCCACGCTCCCCGGAGCGCGCCAAGAGGGCCCCAACAGGCTTCCAAGACGGTCCAAGAGGGTTCCGAATCACCGAACGATCGGCCCAAGACGCCCAAAACGGCCTCAAGACGGCCTAAGAAGCTTCCAAGACGTCCCAAGAAAGCCCCGACCCTTTCCAAGAGAGCTAGAGGCCAAAATCGTTGATTTGCATAGGGTTTTTCAAGGTTTTTGGCTTCCTCGCCTTTTCGCGTTTCCGACGCTCCAAGACGGCCCAAGAAGCCTCCAAGACCACCCCAAGACGGCCCAAGAGGCCTCCAAGAGAGCCCCAAGACCACCCAGGAGGGCCCCACGACAGCCCAAGAGGCGCCCAAGACGGTCCAAAAGGACCCCAAGAAACATGGAGACCACGAACCGAGAATCCGAGCCTTCCGCTCCAAGAGGCCTCCTGGAAGCTCCAAGATGCCCCCAAGAGGCCCCAAAAGGCGACAAGGGGCCCGAAAGAGACCCCAAGAGGTTCGACAACGACTCCCGAGAGTCTCCAAGAAGCCCTCGAGAGGCATCCAACGAGATCCCAATGAGCGTCCACGAAGCCTCAGAGCGCCAAAACCATTGATTTCCATTGGGTTTTTCTAGGTTTTTGGCTTCCTCGCCTTTTCGCCTTTCCGACGCTCCAAGACGGCCCAAGAAGCTTCCAAGACCACCCCAAGACGGCCCAAGAGGCCTCCAAGAGAGGCCAACGACCGTCCAAGAGAGCCCCACGACAGCCCAAGAGGCGCCCAAGACGGTCCAAAAGGACCCCAAGAGGGCCCCAAGAGAGACCCAAGATGGAGACCACGAACCGAGAATCCGAGCCTTCCGCTCCAAGAGGCCTCCTGGACGCCCCAAGAGGCTCGTAAGAGGCCCCAACAAGCGACACGGGGCCCGAAGAATGCAAAAAGAAAACTGCAGAATGTTGTTTTGTTCCCTGCGATCGTATTCACGAGCCGCCACCTTCCGAAACAGAAGGTTCAGGCGGGCAAAGAATGGTTCCCGCCTGCGAAATCACCCAAAGCCAGCCATCCATAAACAGAAAAATAACCCAGCAGCACCCCATTGACAACGATCACACGGGCACTCGACAGCCGTGCACCAATACGGGCCGGCGGAATGAACGAAGCGATTAAATAACTTGGGCCTGAGTAGCGTATAGCTCCGCTGGACCATCCAGCAAGCTCACAGAAGTGCCGATGCTGGCAGGGCCCAGAGAGAGGCCAGGAACAAACGAATAGGAATCGAGGGGACGGCGAGAAAGGGAAAAGCGGGAGGCGGCAGCGAGGAGGGGAGAAAGCGGGAGGAGGAGAAGAACAGCGCTGCTCAGTTCAAGACGAAGATCAAACCAAGGGAACCCACTGAAGGCTGGGGGAGATGAACGAACAAGACAAACGCCTCCATCGACAACCATCGCGCAAGGCCCTGGCCTCTCGACTGCCACCTCCCTGATGTGCACATCCCTGATTGCTGTCCCTCGCGCATGCCCCAGGACGCCAGCTCGAAAGACCAAGACATATTCATACTTAGACACATATATATATATAGATATATACACGGTGAACCCACACACAAACACATCTTCTGCGTCGGCGGCTAGGCAGACTGACTGCTCTGGCGGAAGGGCAAATCGTGGACGAGAAAATGCGAAATGCAAACACACACACACACATACTCCAGATTTCGTAATAAAGGGAGGGGGGTCTCATTTCGGGGGGGGTCTCTTCCAGGCTATCTTGGAGGGCCTGGGGGGTCTGGGGACGATGTTTTGGAGGGTTCTCTCACGGGGGAGGTCTGAAATGGCTTGTCTTGGAGGGTCCAGACCCCCTCCCTTTTATTACGAAACCTGGAGTACACGTGTGGTCGTCCGCGGGCGGGCGCAGCGCAACGCCGTCCAAAGAGGTCGCTGACGAGCGCGCGCCGCAAGGGAGGGAAGCGGCCGGCCCCCCACGGGGCACCGGAGGGGCAGAGGCCAGGCCGGTGGGAGCCCGGGCGGCGCGCAAGAACCCGAGCAAGGTGCCCACCTCCTCCTCCTCCTCCTCCTCCTCCTCCTCCTCCTCCTCCTCCTCCTCCTCCTCCTCCTCCTCCTCCTCCTCCTCCTCCTCCTCCTCCTCCTCCTATGAGGCGGGCGAGTAACGGCCGAGGCAGAAGCCGGAGCAAAGCGGGGGGGGCGGAGCGAGGGGGGGAGAGGGCGCTTCAGGTGGTCAAGAGCGGGTTCGCTCCTCGCCTCCCGCGTGCCCCGCACGCGAGCTTCGAGGCGCACCATCTGTTCTCGACACCTGTGAGACAGCTGCCTGATAGCTGAAGGCGTCGTGCGGATCCAGCAGACACGAAGAACATCAGGGTACCCTCCCCGAGCCGACCTCAATCTTATACCTCGACCTGACCGTACACGGTAATGCCTGAAGCACCCACTGCAGGTATAAGAATAGAGTGATCGGGTGCCGCGCGCGATGAGACGTTCCAGGGCAGGGCCTTCTGGAGGGTAGCACATAAGGAACGACTCACAACCGACAGAATGGATGAAGCATAGACCGGGTGTTGCTAGAAGTGCCCCCGCCCCAAGGTACCCCTAGGATTTCCGAGGACCCCACGGCCTCCACAGCAACAACCCTCACGAGATCCAGAGGACCCAGGGGCTCCAAGACTGAGCGAAAAGCTGGGGGCACTTTGGGCCAGGGGCATTAGCAACCCCGGAATGAATGACTCCCAGACCAGGTTCTGTTGTGCACGCAGGACAGACGGACAACTGGGACCATCTGCGCACGAGCCCTGGAGCTGGCGACAAGGACGGGAGAGGAGAAGTGGAGGAGGCCCGCGCTTCGCGGAGTCCTGCTCAACACTTGGCAGCTCTTTCTTGGAAGTCTTCACGGCCATGCCGTCCTCGGGCGCGCACGTATTCATAGCCGACTCCCCATTCAACCATGCAGCCTGGTGTATACCCCCATTAGCGTACCTTCGCACGCCGATGGACACCAACTCTCGCACAGGGTACTGAGCGAGTGCGCCCCAGAGAGGCTTCCAAGAGGCCTCCCCAGAGATCTTCGCTGGCATTCTAGGGGCCTCTGACCAACAATCCAGGCGGTCGAGACACTTCTTGTTTTCGTATCTGCTTACAACATACGGGTACCTGGAACTTGTCTACGAAATCAAGCGTTACAGCTCCCATTGTCCATGCACCTCGAGAACTACAGGACACACGGACCAGATGGTCAAACATACAACAAGACCTAACTGTTTATACGTATCGCTCTCTCTCTCTCTTTCTCTCTCTCTTTCTCTCTCTCTCTCTCTTTCTCTCGTTCACCCTCTCTCTCTCTCTCTCTCTCGCTCGCACTCTCACTCTCAGAGCGGCAAACAAAGAGAAAAATAGATGGGAAGAGAAAAAGATAAGAGGAAGGGGGAGACGGAGACGGAGAGAGACGACAAGGGCGAGTCTAGTGAAGCGGCTGAACAAAACAAACAAGCAAACAAACAAACAAACAACAACACCACCAACAACACCAGCTGCAGCAACATAACAAGAACAACAACAACAACAACAACAGCAACGGCAACAACAACAGCAACAACAACAACAACGACAACAACAACAACGATACCAACAACTACTACTACAACAACAGCAAACACAACAACAACAACAACAACAACAGCAACAACAACAACAGCAACAACAACAACAACAGCAACAACAACAACAACAACAACAACAATTACTAGCACGTGGGGACACTCCGTTCTCACCAGTGCCAGGGTTTTCATAGGAGGCGGGCAATACCCCCACTTTGTGGGGGGGCCGGTTCAAGCTCTACCAAATTTCCAAACGACTCTTCGCCACCACCCACACCCAGCTTCCCGCCCTATGACGTTCGGACACCTCACTTCGTGGCCTGCGGACGACCTTGGCTACTACACTGGCGCATGGGTACAATGACTTGTTGTGGTAACATTTTCTGTAAGCTAGCTTAGTATACGACTTTTCCCCCTGCAATTGAAGATTTCGGCGTGCGCGCGCGAAGAAAAAACGAATGTGTCCCATATGGTATTATTTGACAGGGATGATGGCCCTGGCAGGCGCGCAACCGTTGTTGCAGAAGTTCGAAGCACGTGAAAAAGTTGCTCGCAAGAGCCCGTTTGACAGAAATGTTGAAAAAGTATTGGGTTTCCTAAGAAATCCGCAAGAGCGCGCGGGATGAATTTTTGAAATTTTTTTTTGAAAAACCATTGGGTGTTTCATGTTTTTATGTTAAAATCGCTACGAAAACTAAGGTTTTGGAAGGATTTCATCTTGCGCGCGCGAGTGTGCACTTCGTGACATTTTTTGCAAAGGATTCTTGAAGTTTGGTTATGTTAGAACAAGACATGTCATTTTATATTGTTTTTTGACAGGGAAAGCGGGCGTCAACAAAACAACCGGATCCGGACTCCCCCGTTTTGCCTGAGACTTCCTCACGAAAATGATGAAAATGTGGCTGCGGCCTAGGCGCGGCGAGGGGGGCGTGCACCAGGGGCCCAACAATAATTATTCTTTAGAAGTAATAATATTCAACAACAACAACAATCACTTTACCCGAACGCTCAGTGTTCTCACCAGTGCCAGGGTTTTCATGCGACGCCAGCCAATACCCCCACTTTGTGGGGGGGCAGTGCAAGCTCTACCAAATATCCACACGACTCTTCGCCACCACCCACACCCAGCTTCCCGCCCTATGACGTTCGGACACTTCACTTCGTGGCCTGCGGACGACCGTGGCTACTACACTGGCGTGGAGTACACACCCACAGAAGTTGTTAAGCCTACGTTCGTACACCCACAGAAGTTGTTAAGCCTTGTTAACCCACAGAAGTTGTTAACCCACGGTGCGATTCGTGTGATTTTATGATGCGCGGTGCTAAAATTCTTAAGAAGCCCAATGGTTTTTGGAGATTTCGGCGTGCGCGCGCGAAGAAAAAACGAATGTGTCCCGCATGGTATTATTTGACAGGGATGATGGCCCTGGCAGGTGCGCAACCGTTGTCGCAGAAGTTCGAAAAAGTTGCTCGCAAAAGCCCGTTTGACAGAAATGTTTAAAAAGTGTTGGGTTTCCTACGAATCCGCAAGAGCGCGCGGGATGAGATTTTGACATTTTTTTGTTGAAAAACCATTGGTTTTTTGATGTTTTTATGTTAAAATCGCTCCGAACACTAAGCTTTTGGAAGGATTTCGTCTTGCGCGCGCGAATGTCCACTTTACCTTATTTTTTGCAAGGGATTCTTGAAATTTGATTATATTAGAACAAGAAATGTCATTTTATAGTGTTTTTTGCAAGGGAAAACGGATTACAACAAAACAACCGGATCTTGATCACATCGTTTACCTGAGGCTTCCTCACGAAAATGATGAAAATGTAGCTGCGGCCTAGGCGCGGCGGGGGGGGCGCGCACCAGGGGTCCCAACAATAATTATTCTTTAGAATTAATAATGTTCAACAACAAACACCCACAACAACAACAGCAACAACAACAGCAACAACACCAACAACACCAACAACGACAAAAGCAGCAACAACAGCAACAACAACAACAACAACAACAACAACAACCGCTGCAGCAGCACAGCAAGAAAAAAAACAGCAACAGCAACAAAATCAACAACAGCACTAGCAGCAGCAGTGGCCGCAGCAGCAGCATCAACAGCACCCACAATCCTTTTAGTGCTGCTCGCTCTTATCTGTCCACGTGCCATTCAACACGTAGACCCCAAACCCTCGATACCCGCCCGCTTCGTCTTCGATCGTACCTCCTTGGGGGCATATCTTTCTCACCAGCAACGTGCATGTCGTGCAGCCCCTGCGGCAGGGGAAGAGAGGACGGATGGAAAGGAAGGGACAAGGGGAAAGGCGGAGGATGGAACACGAGAGAGAACAGCAGGAGGGGGGCCAGGAGCAGAAAACACCTGGCAGAACCACAGGCGGGTCGGGAAGGCGGCAACAGGCGGCCAGATCGAGCAGGCAGGTTGCTGAAGACAGCGCCATGCATGAATCGCAAGGAAGTCCCCAACGACGACATCGCGATTCCCAAAGAAATCGCGAAGAAATCCACAGCGAGAGCGCGAAACCTGACTGTCGAGGGCGCGGCGTCTGAATATATTGAAACGAGTTCCAACGCGAGAGCGCGATGTCTGCATACACTGTCAGGAGAAATTGTAAGGACGTATCAGACGGGAGCCGCTGTTGTTGTTGTTGCCAAAGAGACAATTCTGAGTCTTCGATCGTGAATTGTTCTTCCTGCAACGTGCATTTCGTGCAACACCTTCGGCAGGAGAACAGACGACGGATGGAAGGAAGGGACAAGGGGGAGAGAGGCGGATGTAGCACGAGAAAGAATAGCAAGAGGGGGGTTAGGAGCAGAAAACACATGGCAGAACCAGACGGGCAGATCGGGCGGGTAGACCTTAACGGGCGGGTCGGGAAGGCTGGCCCAGACGGCCACGTCGAGCAGGCGGGTTGCTGAAGAGTGCGTCCTGCACGACAGCACGATTCCCAAATAATCGCGAGGAAATTAACAGGGAAAGCGCGGTTCCTGAGTGTCGAGGGCGGGGCGTCTGAATAAATTGGAAGGAGGTCCCACGCGAGAGTGCGATTCCTGCATAAATTGCGTGGGCGTCCCTCGCGAGAGCGCGATTTTGGAATCCGCCGACCCTGTCGGCGTGTGGGGTCGGTCCGGTCCCGTCGACGGGGAGCCTTTTTCTCCGCCCCCTCCTTCCCATCCTCCTCTCCCGTCGGGGGGGAGAGGAAGAGAGGGAGACAGAGAGAGAGAGAGAGAGAGCACCCTTCCTCGTTCGGGGAACGGGCTCGCAGCTTGAGGAAATCCCATCCACGTCCTCATTACGTCAAAGGGAAGCCCCTTCCCGGGGGGCGCCTCTGGGGGTCCTCCTCTCCCACGCCAGTCCTTCTCCGGCGCGCCAGTCCTCCTCGGGTCCTGCTCTCCAGGTGGGGAGGAGCCCCGGGGGGGGGAGTCAAATACGCATCCGTCCCTGGGGGTCCTCCTCCCCCTCCCCTCTCCTCTCCCACGCCAGTCCTCCTCTGGTCCTCCTACCCAGGGGGGGGGTCCCAGGGGGATCCTTTTCCTGCTCCTCCTCCTCCTCCTCCTCCTCCTCCTCCTCCTCCTCCTCCTCATCATCATCATCATCATCATCATCATCATCATCATCATCATCATCATCATCATCATCATCATCATCGTCCTCCTCTTCCTCCTCCTCCTCCTCATCATCTTCCTCCTCCTCCTCCTCATCCTGCTTATCTCCGCCTCCTCCTCCTCCTCCTCCTTCGCCTCCTCCTCCCCCTCCTGGTCGTCGTCGATGTCTTTCAGGGTCGGCGGCACCGGCCGTCAGGCCTTCACAATAAATTGTGAGGCAGTAACAGGCGGGAGTTGTTGTAAACAGCGGGCCAGGGGCGCAGTCTGGTGACACTTAAAACCAGGGTGGGAGCCCCTGGAAAATCATTTTGATTGGCAAAAATATATGTTACCGGGAATGGGGGACGAACCACCCTTATCCCTTCGAAATGGAAACTCAACAAAGACAACAACCACAAGAACAAGAACAACAACGACAACGACAACAACAACAACAACAACAACAACAACAACAACAACAACAACAACAACAACAACAACAACAACACAACACGACAACTACAACAACTACTACTACTACTGCGACGACGACGACGACGACGACGAAGACGACGACGACGACGACGACGACGACGACGACGACGACGACTACTACTACTACAGAAATCAGTTCAAGACTGCTCGGTCTTATCTGCTTGCGTACACCTCAACACGTATATCCCAAACCCTCGATGCCCGCCCTCTGCATCTTCGATCGCTCAATTGGGGTGTGTGTGTATACATATATATATATATATAAAAAATTTTTAAAAAATACCTGCAACGTGTATTCCGTGCAGCCCCTACGGCAGGGGAAGAGAGGACGGATGGAAGGAAGGGACAAGGGGAAGGGAGGAGGATGGAGCACGAGAGAGAATAGCAGGAGGGGGGCTAGGAGCAGAAAACACATGGCAGAACCAGACGGGCAGATCGGGCGGGTATGCCCTAACAGGCAGGTCGGGAAGGCGGCAGCAGGCGGTCAGCTCGAGCAGGCGGGTTGCTGAAGAGTACGTCCTGCATGAATCGCGAGGAATTCTCGAGCGACAGAGCGATTCCCAAAGAAATCGTGAGGAACTCCACAGCGAGAGCGTGATTCCTGGGTGTCCAGGGCGCGGCGTCTTGAAAAAATCGCAAGAAGTCCCATGCAGGAGCGCGATTTCTGCATACATTGTGAGGAAGCCCCACGCGAGAGCGCGATTTGGGATTCAAGTGAGAGGAAAAAGTAAGCGGGAGTCGTTGTTGTTGTTGTATGTAAACTAGAGACCTACAACCCAATTCTGAGACCCAAGACTTTCCCTGATTAACAAACAGGGTGCGAGCCCTGGGGAGGGCACTTCAATTGAAAAACACCATGTGCCCTGGACGGGGGATCAACAATTCGCCGGCCCAACGGGCCAGAGGCGTGCTAAGATCTCCGGTAACTGGTAAACAGTATTTCTGGTTCGCGCGCGCGGGGCGGCCCCTGGGGGTCCCTGGATCAAAAGTACCCCGAGAGGAGCCCGGGACACGCCCGGGACACGCCCGGGACACTCCCCCAGATCCTCCAGGATCGCCCCAAGAGGGCCCCAAGAGGCCCCCAACACAATCCAAGAGAGGTCCGAGACGCCCGAAGATCGCTCCACGGCGCCCAAGATGGCCTCCAGACGGCCCAAGAGTCTCCAAGATGACCCAACAAGCCTCCAAGATGCCCCAAGAGGCCTCCAGGAGCACTCCCAAGAGGGCCCCAAGAGGCAAAAATCAATGCTTTTTCTTAGGTTTTGGACAGATTTGGGCGTTTCAACCTTTTCGGTTCCCCGACGCCCCTAAAGGCTCAAGAGGCTCCAAGATCGGCCTCCAAGATCGACCCCAAGAGGGCCCAAGAGGCCCTCAAAAGGGCCCCAAGACGGCCCAAGACGGCTCCAAGACGGCCCCAGAGGCCTCCAAGACGGCCCAAGAGGGCCCCAAGAACGCCCCCAACACGGTCCAAGAGAGGTCCGAGACGCCCGAAGATCGCTCCACGACGCCCAAGATGGCCTCCGGACGGCCCAAGACGTCTCCAAGATGGCCCAAGAAGCCTCCAAGATGCCCCAAGAGGCCTCTAAGAGAACTCCCAAGAGGGCCCCAGGAGGCAAAAAACTGTGCTTTTCCTTTGGTTTGGGACAGATGTATCGACAACTACACAGCTCCCGACGCCGCAGCTCCACACTGCAAACGACCACGCGGACAGGCGACCACGGTGCGACATTATGGGCCGGCGGAATGAGCGAAGCGATTAAATAAGTATTCTTCCGCACTGAAAGCTCAACAACAGCATCAGCAGCGGCAGTAGCACCAACAACAACAATAACAACAACAACAACAACAACAACAACAACAATAGCAACAACAACAATAACGGCAACAGCTACAGCGACAGCATCAACAACGACAAGAACAACACAAATGACGACAACAACAACAACAACAACAACCACAACAACAACAACAACAACAACAACAAGAACAACAACAACAACAACAACAGCAACCACAACCACAACCACAACCACAACCACAACCACAACCACAACCACAACCACAACCACAACCACAACCACAACCACAACCACAACCAACCACCACCAACAACAACAACAATCAGTTTACTCTCATGCACGATGTTTCCACACGAAGCATGCGACCATCATGATAATCATCCACATCATGAGGGACTTTTGTTCTATAGCGGGGTCCGTTATTCCAATTCCCAGATCTCCCGCCCAATGAGGTCTTGCAAACACCTCCTCCGAGGAAGCTCAAAATATTCCGCCTCGAAAACACATGCCCGCGACTTGCTGCGCCGATGCGAGACCGCCAGTGGAACCCCAGCGAAGGGTAAAGCACAAGGAAGTTTCGAACGACAGGGTTGCCTTGGTGGGGATGGGGGCTGTCGGCGGTGAGGCAAGGACCTGGCCCTGAATAGAAAGGGAGGAAGTCTCAAGCAGGGCTGTTGTTGCTGGAAGCGGCGCCAATGCTGAAGAGAGTAGGGCGCTAGTCAAGCGTAAAACAAAACGAAGTCTCGAGCGGGAGCGCTGGTTTTGTTGCGACGGCGGCTTTCGGCGGCAAGGAGGAACACCGCCTTGAGAAAGAAAGGAGGAAGCATCGAGCGGGAGCCGTGGTTTTGTCGGGACGGGGGCTGTCGGCGGCGAAGAACAGCACCGTCCCGAGGAAAAAGAAAGGAAATCTCGAGCGGGAGCGTTGTTTTTGCTGGGAGCGGCACCAATTCAAAAGAGAATTGGGCGCCAGTCCAGCGTAAAACGGAAAGATGTCTCGGGCGGGAGCGCTGGTTTTGTCGGGGCGGCGGTTTTCGGCGGCGAGGAGGGACACCGCCTTGAATAAGAAGGGAAGAAGCATCCAGCGGGAGCCGTGGTTTTGTCGGGACGGGGGTTGTCGGCGGCGAAGAACAACACCGTCTTCAAGAAAAAGGGAAGAAGCCTCGAGCGGAAGCGTTGCTCTTGCTGGGAGCGGCGCCAATTCAAAACAGAATTGGGCGCCAGTCCAGCGTAAAACGGAAGAAAAGTCTCGGGCGGGAGCGCTGGTTTTGTCGGGGCGGCTGTTTTCGGCGGCGAGGAGGAGCACCCTCGAGCGGGAGCGTTGTTTTTGCTGGGGGGAGCGCCGACGAAAGAAAGACTAGCGCGCCAGTTCAAGGTAAAACGGGAGGAAGTCTCGAGCGGGAGCGCTGGTGTTGTTAGGACGGCGGCTTTCGGCGGCGAGCAAGAAGACGCGCCCTGAGTAAAAGGAGGAAGTCTCGAGCGGGAGCGTTGTTGGTGTTGTTGGGGGGGCGATTGTAGCGGTCCCCCAAACCGCTCGAGCGTGAGCCTCATTTTCAATGAAAATGTAGCTGGCGCCTCGGCGAGAGCGCCAGGGCGCCTGTAAGGGGTCCATCAATAAGAATTGCTTAGTAATTAACATTCAACAACAACGACGACGACACGACGACGACGACGACGACGACGACGACAACAACACCAACACCAACACCAACACCAACACCAACACCAACAACAACAACAACAATTACTAGCACGTGGGGACACTCCGTTCTCACCAGTGCCAGGGTTTTCATAGGAGGCGGGCAATACCCCCACTTTGTGGGGGGGCCGGTTCAAGCTCTACCAAATTTCCAAACGACTCTTCGCCACCACCCACACCCAGCTTCCCGCCCTATGACGTTCGGACACTTCACTTCGTGGCATGCGGACGACCGTGGCTACTATTCAGGGCCCCGCGGCCGACGACGACGGCGTGCGCGCGCGAAGAAAAAACGAATGTGTCCCGCATGGTATTATTTGACAGGGATGATGGCCCTGGCAGGTGCGCAACCGTTGTTGCAGAAGTTCGAAAAAGTTGCTCGCAAAAGCCCGTTTGACAGAAATGTTTAAAAAGTGTTGGGTTTCCTACGAATCCGCAAGAGCGCGCGGGATGAAATTTTGACAATTTTTTTTTGAAAAACCATTGGTTTTTTGATGTTTTTATGTTAAAATCGCTACGAAAACTAAGGTTTTGGAAGGATTTCGTCTTGCGCGCGCGAATGTCCACTTTACCTTATTTTTTGCAAGGGATTCTTGAAGTTTGGATATGTTAGAACAAGAAATGTCCACTTTAGCTTATTTTTTGCAAGGGAAAGCGGGGGACAACAAAACAACCGGATCTGGTACACATCGTTTTGCCTGAGGCTTCCTCACGAAAATGATAAAAATGTGGCTGCGGCCTAGGCGCGGCGGGGGGGCCGCGCACCAGGGGTCCCAACAATAATTATTCTTAAGAAGAAATAATGTTCAACAACAACAACAACAACAACAACAACAACAACGACAACGACAACGACAACGACAACGACAACGACAACGACAGCAGCAGCAACAACAACGACAACAACAACCACAATAAGAACAGCAACAACAAGAATAAGCAGCGTAACCAGTGAAACGGCAGCCACCCTGGATCATGAAACAATGTCGCCTGGACTCCTACACTTGCGGGCAATACGATGGATGGAGTCAAATAGAGGAGGTCACCGATTCGCCGCGTCCTCGTCTACGTAGGGCGCATCGTTGTTGGAATACGTGTCGTTCTTGCCAGTGGCATCCTTGGGCGTCCATTACGCAATCGTCCCCTAGGCACGTGCCATGACAGGCCCAAAGCACTTGTCGCTACCGTCCTCGCTTATTCCCACGACGTACACAAACAAACACGTATCATCACCAGTGCACCTCGTGCACTCTTGGAGGTACAATGGCCACGCCGCCAAACATACAAAGGGAGACTAAACAGAAGAGCGGCCATTCATCATACGTGACACACCGCAGAACGCAAGACCTGCATCCTGACATCCCTGGAGGACGAGGACGAGGACGAGGACGAGGACGAGGACGAGGAGGAGGAGGAGGAGGCCGACGACGAGGAGGAGGAGGAGGAGGAGGAGGAGGGAGGAGGGAGGAGGGAGGAGGGAGGAGGGAGGAGGGAGGAGCCTGTTGGAACCACGCAATGCACCAGTACCACCCAGGCAACGCTCGACCCACCGTCCAATCACCAGACAAGGAACTTATAAAACGATAGCATCTATAACACAAGAAGCCAGCAGGCATGGGCTTCCAAACGCAAAAAAGGGGCTCGTGCCTAGAACTCGGGGAAGGTCTCCGATGATGCCTGAGAATCGTTCGGTCGCGATTCCTGGATGCACCCAATTCGTGCTGAGGAGGCGTAGGGGTCGAGGCAGGAGTTGCATCCATCCGCGGAAGGATCGAAAACACAAAGGGCAACCTTCATCCACTGAGCAACGAACTCTTGGATGTACTAAACGACGCACCCTGCACATCTGCATTACCCACGCATATCCCATCATCAAGCCATTAACACCAATAAGTGAATTGTTTTAAGCAGATGCTGGCACAAGTCAGCAACGTTCAATCCGTCGACCCCGCTCTCCGAGGGTAGGTGTATGCGATGTTTGGGTGTCCCCCTCTCCCCGTTCTCGTAATTAGACGTCCAAGGCCGAACACCGACCGAGCCGACGGCAGTGACCTAGACCGACTGACAGAGACAGCGAAAAAGCAAACCGAGAACAGCGCGACGGCGAACCAAGCGACCGAATCGAAGCTGGCGAATCCCACCAGCCCTTCAAGGTGCAGGTGGTCTAAGGCGGTTCCTCTTCCAACCCCCTTCTTCCGGGAAGTTATAATAGCGCTGCCTGTAGAAAAGGCAGAGAGAGAGAGAGAGCGCGAGAGACCTGCGCACGCGTAAACAAACGATCCAGGCTGCAGGCAGTTACCGGGCACTTCACGCGAAATGCTCTTCCAGGGCGAGACGAGGGGGCCGATACAGCACAGGCCTCGAAGGAAACGGATGGATGAAAAAGAGCCGAGGACGCCCTTGCTTCGCAGCGTCCTCGCTCATTGAAGGCGGCTCCGTGTTAGAGTACTTCTCGGCAATGGCGTCCTTGGGCGCCGATTGCGCGCTCCCTCGGAGACGACCGCACCAAGCCCTGGGCACCATCCCTGGGCTCCCACCATCGGACCATATGTGCACATCTGCTGGCATGTGTTTGGCACGCCCGAAAGCACCGATTCACACAACATGGCGCGCACCGTGGGACAGTGAACAACTGGCATATCCCTGGGTCCAGGGTAAATGCCCTGCGTTCTGAGAAGCCCCCACCACTGCACCGAGCACGCCATGGGAGATCAAGGCCGCCAATGCCTCGGCGGCTGACTTCGAACCCTGAGCGAAACTCATGAAGAATGCGCCTCGCTACGAACAGAGCTCTTCGGAAGCATATCGCGCACTCTCAGAATCTAATATCTGGGGCCTGGAAATTGGCACACACACACACACACACACACGCAAGTAGTTGCCTCCACCTGGGGAAGACGATCCCGGGTGTTGGTGCTGGACCTCCCGGCCACCTAGACGCCCGAACCTTCCCACCATCGCCGAGGTCAGGATCATCTTCCCCCGGCGGAGGCACCCGCCGGTACTGGTGTCGGGGCCGACCTCTCGGCCTCCGATGACGCCTTGGAGTCTGGCGCCGAGCGCGGAGGGGGGACCGCGCGCAGAGAAGCGGGCACCGTGGTAGGGGAAACCAAGAGATACCGATGCCGCTCCTCCGCGGACCTCTCCCGGGGTGCGTTCTGACCAGACGGTGGCGACAGGGGCCCCTCCCAGGAGGCCCAGAACGGTGAACACGAGGCCAGTGTGGCAGCACAGGTAGCTTTTCCTCCTCCTCCTCTAACGTGGGGGTCGAAGCCAACGCTCACGCCGCGAGTGCGCGCAAGATCAAGCCGGGTGTTCGGGCTCAGGGCACGAGGGGGGGGGGGGGGGCACGCCCGAGTACAGTTGAACACATGCAGCTGCCCCAGCTGCTGCTCCTCCCCGCCTCCGCCGCGCTGCCCCGCAGCTGCGAGGAGGGGTGGCAGGGTGGCGAGGGGGTGGGGGGAAGAAATAGAGCAGCGAAGGGGGACGGAGAAGGGGGAACGAACGAGGGAGGGAGAAAGAGGAGGAAGCAGGATGGCGAGGAGAAGGAAGAGGAAAAGAAGATCGACAACGGAGGAGGGAGGCTGAGGATGAAGAGGAGGACGGTGAGAAAGCTGACGACGAGGAGAAGCAGGATAAGGATGAGGAAAGCGCAGGAAGTGGAGGAAGCATGAGCAGGGCGAGGAGGGTGAGGAAGATGGGAGAGGAAGGAATAATGGGGATCAACGGGTAGGGTCTTACTAATCCTCTTTCTGCTCCTCCTCCACTGCTCCATCACCACATCCTCGTCATAATTGATGGTGGGGCGCCCGCGCGGTCATCTCTAGGCTGTCTTGAGGGATTGTGGGCCCGCGTTGGAGTACTCTTGGGGCCAGCTTGTGGCCTCTCAGGGACATGTAGGCCTCCTGGGCTCTCATCGTGGGAACACCTGGCCGCGCCGGCGGACCCGCACTCACTGCAAGCCCAGGCTGTCTGTCCAGCTGCCGCGCCCTGCTCGGGCGAGAGGTGCAGGGGCCGGAAGCAGGCAGCAGGTCGGCCAGCACAGCCGCCCAGGAGCCCTGGGACAGGGGAGGCAGGGGGGGCCGAGGCACGGGAGCCGGGTTCCCAACCCATGTCGTCGGCACTCCGTTACTCGCAGAAGAACTGCAAGCGTACTCCTGGCTGTTTTCGCTCAAGCAATCCTCGCGGCCATGCTTGGTCAATAAATCCTCTGGTGGCCTTTGTCCGGATCCCAACGAAACCAGCTGAGCAAGGTTAACAAATCCTTTGGTCCGTGCCCGAATACCAGATCTGTCACGGAGTGTCTCTTGGAGGCGGAGCCCGTGTCCAGCGTGAACGATCGGAAACTCCCCTCAAGGTCATGCCGACAGCGTTAAGGTCAAGGTCGAGCGTACTCCTGGAGCCTGCAGGCAGCCACGAGGGACTTGGTTCGAAACGCCATCGATGCCCAAATAGGACGTGGGCCGACAAAGCCGACCACCAATCTGCAAAAAAAACAATGGACGAATAAGAATAGAAGAAAACCTTGCTTCGCCGCGTCCTCGATCATTTCCGGCAGCTCCTCGCTGGAATCCTTCTCGACTACACCATCCTTGGGCGCCGATTGTCGTCTGCCCCCCTAACTCCCACCCAGCAACCCCGCATGCACCGCATTCAGTGAGCGCTTTGCATGCCCGAGGCCACTGGCCATCACAGCAGCACAGACAATGGTGACGCGTCGTCGGCCCAGTGAGCACCCATCTAAGCGGTCAGTTTGCACTGGCCGCTGCAAGCCGGATTCGAGAGTGGCACGCGAGCAACACACACACACATGTGCTTTTTTATATATATATATATATATATATATATATATATATATATATATATAATATATATATATATATATATATGGTAGCCCCCCCCACATGATCATACATATATTTATTTTTGCTACTCCTCTTCCTCGCGCGCCCTGGGGGGGGGAGGGCCTGGGGCTTCCTGGGGCTTCCTGAGGCCTCCTGGGCTTCCCGAGTCTTCCGAAACGCTTCCTGGGGCTTCCCGAAGCCTCCTGGGCCTGCCGAAACACTGCCCTGGTGAAAAACGTTGTGTTTTCCTGATATTCCTGACCTTCCCAGGGATTACCCCTGAGAAAACGCTGCGTTTTCCTGATATTCCTGACATTCCTGACACTTCCAGAAACTACCCAGGCGCCGAGGCCTCCTCGGGCTGCCGAAACATTGCCCTGGTGGAAAACGCTGCGTTTTCCTGCTAATCCTGACCTTCCCAAGGATTACCCCTGAGAAAACGCTGCGTTTTCCTGCTATTCCTGATATTCCTGACATTTCCAGAGACTACCGTGAGCCTGCAGGGTAGTCTCTAGAAATGTCAGGAATATCAGGAACATCAGGAAAACACAGCGTTTTCTCAGGGGTAATCCCTGGGAAGGTCAGGAATATCAGAAAAACACACCGCTTTCCACCAGGGCAATGTTTCGGCAGCCCCACGAGGCCTCGGCGCCTGGGTAGTCTCTGGAAATGTCAGGAATATCAGGAATATCAGGAAAACGCAACGTTTTCTCAGTGGTAATCCCTGGGAAGGTCAGGAATATCAGGGAAACACAGCGTTTTTCACCAGGGCCATCTCTGGGAAGATCTTGGAAATCTGGAAAATCTGGTAAACGGTATTTGTTCAAGAGCAGGAGGATGATAATCAAATCGTGTAGCTTCAACAGGGCAGCGTTGGCCGTCGGCTGCTCCTCACCCTCCTCTTCTTCCTCCTCCTACTCCTCCTGCTCCTCCCCATCCTTCCTCCTCCTTCATTCCTTCACTCAACCCCACCTCTCCGCTTCATGGCGTCACTCACAAATCTAGTTGCGAACGCAGCTCCGCAACCAATTTTGCGAGCAGCCTCCTGATAAGACACATTACTCGCAAATCTAAATGTGAACGCCGCTCCACACCTAGTTTTGTGAGTAAGGTGTTGCTCCTCACCTTCGTCATGCTCCTCACCCTCCTCTTCTTCCTCCTCCTACTCCCCCTGCTCCTCCCCCCTTCCTCTTCCTTCGTTTCTTCACTCTACCCCCACCTCTCCGCTTCGTGGCGTCACTCGGAAAATTAGTTATGAACGCAGCTCCACAACCAGTTTTGTGAGCAGCCTCCTGATACGAAACATTGCTCGCAAAACTAGCTGTGAACGCCGCTCCACACCTAGTTTTGTGAGTAAAGTGTTGCTCCTCACCTTCGTCATGCTCCTCACCCTCCTCTTCTTCCTCCTCCTACTCCTCCTGTTCCTCCCCCCTCCTCCTTCTTTTCTTCACTTTACCCCCACCTCCCCGCTTCGTGGCGTCACTCGCAAATCTAGTTGTGAACGCAGCTCCCCAATCAGTTCTGCGAGCAGCCTCCTGCTACGAAACATTACTCGCAAAACTAGCTGTGAACGCCGCTCCACACCTAGTTTTGTGAGTAAGGTGTTGCTCCTCACCTTCGTCATGCTCTTCACCCTCCTCTTCTTCCTCCTCCTACTCCTGCTGCTCCTCCCCCCTCCTCCTTCTTTTCTTCACTTTACCCCCACCTCTCCGCTTCGTGGCGTCACTCACAAATCTAGTTGTGAACGCAGCTCCCCAATCAGTTCTGCGAGCAGCCTCCTGCTACGAAACATTACTCGCAAAACTAGCTGCGAACGCCGCTCCACACCTAGTTTTGTGAGTGATGTCTTCCTCCTCACCCTCGTCATGCTCCTCACCCTCCTCTTCTTCCTCCTCCTACTCCTCCTGCTCCTCCCCATCCTTCCTCCTCCTTCTTTTCTTCACTCAACCCCACCTCTCCGCTTCATGGCGTCACTCACAAATCTAGTTGCGAACGCAGCTCCGCAACCAGTTTTGCGAGCAGCCTCTTGATAAGAGACATTACTCGCAAAACTAAATGTGAACGCCGCTCCACACCTAGTTTTGTGAGTAAGGTGTTGCTCCTCACCTTCGTCATGCTCCTCACCCTCCTCTTCTTCCTCCTCATACTCCTCCTGCTCCTCCCCCCTTCCTCCTCCTTCGTTTCTTCACTCTACCCCCACCTCTCCGCTTCGTGGCGTCACTCGCAAATCTAGTTGCGAACGCAGCTCCACAACCAGTTTTGCGAGCAGCCTCCTGCTACGAAACATTACTCGCAAAACTAGCTGTGAACGCCGCTCCACACCTAGTTTTGTGAGTAAGGTGTTGCTCCTCACCTTCGTCATGCTCCTCACCCTCCTCTTCTTCCTCCTCATACTCATCCTGCTGCTACGGCTCCTGGTCACTCAGCCCCCTCCTCTCCACTTCGAGGCGTTACCCTCCAATCTAATTGCGAATGCAGCTCCACAACAAACCTTGCGAACAACCTTCCGCTACGAATCATTATTCACAAAACTTGTCGTGAACGCCGCTCCACAGCTAGGAAGAGGCGGTGGAAAATGGGGGAGGATGTTGCTCAACTATGGCTGGTGCCACTGGAGCTCGGCATTCACCAGATGACGCGGAGGAGGAGGAGAACAAGGGGCTCAATTTTGAGGAGTAGGGCAAATATGGTTTGGAGGAGAAGGTGGAGGAGGAGGTGGTGGAGGGGGAGGAGGAGGAGACGATGAGCAGGAGGACAAACATTGGGAGGAGGAGGAGAAGGAGGAGGAGGAAGAGGTGAATGAGGATTCAGAGAAGGAGGAGAAGGAAGAATAGTAGGAGGATTCTGATGAGGAGGACAAACATGAGGGAGAGCTTGAGGAGAATTTAAAGAAGGAGGAGGGGAAGAGAAGCAGGAGGAGGACAATGAGTTTAAATTTGCGGAATCGGAATAGGAGGAGGACAACATGCCGAAGAGGAGATGGAGGAGGATTCAGAGAAGGAAGATGAAGAGGACAAGGAGGAGGAGGAGGAGGAGGAAGAGGAGGACAAGGAGTTTGAAAGTGAGAGGGGGTAGGAGGAGGAGAATGATGAGGACAAACATGAGGAAGAAGTGGATGAGGATTCATAGAATGAGGAGGACGAGGGGAAGGAGAAGGAAGAGGAGGAGGAAGAGAAGAGTTGAGGCCAATGCATTTGATTTTGAAGCGGAGGGGGAAGAAGACAAACATAAGGAGGAAGAGGATGTGGAGGAGGATTGGGAGACGGTAGAGGAGGAAAATGAGGAGGAGGACGAGGAGGACAAGGCGTTTGGTATCGAGGAGGAGGAGGAAGAGGAGGACGAGGAGGAGAGGACAATTATGAGGAGAAGGTGGAGAAAGCTTCAAAGAAGAAAGATGAGAAAGAGAAAGAGAGGGAGGGGGAGCTTGAGGTTGAGAAGGAGTAGGATGCTGAGGAGGAGGAGGAGGGGCATCATAAACATGAGATGGCGAGATTGGATTGCAATGCGCCGCGAAAGACTGAAGTCGCTTCGCGCTGAAGTGTTTGGATTGCAATCGACGGAATTGCGGTTTGCAACGTAGCAAACCATCATGAAGAAAAACAGGAGGAAGGAACGGGTTATGATGACTGGAGGGATGATGGGAGAATGTGTATGATCATGTGGGGGGGGCGAGATATATATGTACACACATATAGATACATATGTTGTACATGTGTGCTTAACCTATGTGTATATATACACACATATGAATTGTGGCCCCAACGCCCAGCACCCCCCCGAACCACCAAAACAACAAAGCACTCACTAAGCGTGTTCTCCTCCTCCTCCTCCTTTTCCTCCTCCTGCTCCCCCTCCTCCTCCCCCTCCTCCTCCACCTCCTCTTCCTCCTCCTCCTCCCCCTCGTCCGCCTCCACCTCCTCCTCCTCCTCCTCCTCCGCCTCCACCTCGTCCTCCTCCTCCTTCTCCCCTGCTCCTCCTCCCCCTTCCTTCTCCTCCTCCTCCTCCTCCTCCTCCTCCTCTTCCTCCTCCTCCTCCTGTTCCGCCTCCTCCTTCTACATCCTCCTCCTCTCCTTATTATGTGTTGTTTCTTCTTATGATTTCTTTTCGTATTATGACTCGTTGTCTATTCATTCGTATTGTTGTGATTATTAGTCGAAATCATGTTAATAATAGTACTTGCATCGGTACTATGATTATTAGCAGAATTCGTATTACCAGCATTCGTATTGTTATGATACTAATTCAGATTAAGAATAATATTGGAATGATTTTACTAATATGAGGTTGAGGGGTTGGAACGGAAGTGACCACAACAGGGAAATCGGGTACGGTTTCGGTTCGTGTCGTGCGTGCGGGCGAGGCGGAGCTGCGCGAGTTCCATCCATAGTAGAGGCCATCTACCGCCAAAAAAGCTGCACCACGAACGCCGGGCGTGGCCTCCGGTTGTCCCGGCAATTGTCCCGGCGGTTGTCCCGACGACTGAACCGATGGCTGTCCCGATGGTTGTCCCGATGGTTGCGCAGACGGTTGTCCCGGCGGTTGTCCTGGCGGTTGTCCCGATGGTTGACCCGATGGTTGTCCCGATGGTCGTCCCGATGGTTGTCCCGATGGTTGTCCCGATGGTTGTCCCGATGGTTGTCCCGATGGTTGTCCCGATGGTTGTCCCGATGGTTGATAGATTGATAGAAAAAAAGATGGATATATGTTGTCAGATGTTGTCCCGATGGATGTCCCGATTGTTGACCCGATGATTATCCCGATGGTTGCCCCGATGGTTGACCCGATGGTTGCCCCGATGGTTGTCCCGATGATTATCACGATGGTTGTCCCGATGGTTGACCCGATGGATGAAAGATAGATGTTGTCCCGATGGTTGTCCCGATGATTTTCCCGATGGTTGTCCCGATGGTTGTCCCGATGGTTGTCCCGATGGTTGTCTTGATGGCTGCCCCGATGGTTGTCCAAATGGTTGTCCCGATGGTTGTCCCGATGGTTGTCCCGATAATTGTCCCGATGGATAGATCGATAGTTGTTGTTAGATGTTGTCCCGATGGCTGTCCCGATGGTTGTCCCGATGGTTGTCCCGATGGTTGTCCCGATGGTTGTCCCGATGGTTGGCCCGATGGTTGTCCCGATGGTTATCCCGATGGTTGGTAGATAAAAAGATAGATGTTGTTAGATGTTGTCCCGATAATTGTCTCGATGGTTGTCACGATGGTTGTCCCGATGGTTGTCCCGATGGTTGTCCCGATGGTTGATAGATAGAAAGATACTTGTTGTTAGATATTGTCCCGATGGTTGTCCCGATGGTTGTCCAAATGGTTGTCCTGATGGTTGTCCCGATGGTTGTCCCGGCGGTTGTCCCGAAGGTTGATAGATAGATAGGTGGATAGAAGTTGTCCCGATGGTTGTCCCGATGGTTGTCCCGATGGTTGTCCCGATGGTTGTCCCGATAATTGTCCCGATGGCTGTCCCGATGGTTGTCCCGATGGTCGTCCCGATGGTTGTCCCGATGGTTGATAGATAGATAATTAGGTAGATGGTGTTAGATGTTGTCCCGATGGAAGACCCGATGGTTTCCCGATGGTTGTCCCGATGGTCGTCCCGATGGACGTCCCGATGATTGTCCCGATGGTTGTCCCGATGGTTGATAGATAGATAGATGGATAGATGCTGTTAGATGGTAGTACCGGTGGTTGTCCCGATGGTTGTCCTGATGGTTGACCCGATGGTTGTCAAAATGATTGTCCCGATGGTTCCCCCGATGGTTAACCCGATGGCTATCCCGATGGTCGACAGAGAGATAGATAGATGGTGTCCCGATGGATGTCCCGATGGTTGTCCGATGGTTGATAGATAGATAGATAGATAGATAGATAGATATACAGATAGATAGATAGATGTTGTTAGATAGTGTCCCGATGGTTGCCCCGATGGTTGTCCCGATGGTTGTCCCGATGGTTGTCCCGATGGCTGGTAGATAGATAGATGGATAAATAGATAGATAGATGCTGTTAGATGTTGTCCCGATGGATGTCCCGATGGTTGTCCCGATGATTTTCCCGATGGTTGTCCAGATGGTTGTCCCGATGGTTGTCCCGATGGTTGTCCCGATGGTTGCCCCGATGGTTTTCCCGATTGCTGATAGATAGATAGGTGGATAGATGTTGTCCCAATGGCTGTCCCGATGGTTGTCCCGATGGTTGTCCCGATGGTTGTCCCGATGATTGGTAGATAGATAGATAGATGTTGTCCCGATGGTTGTCCCGATGGTTGTCCCGATGGTTGTCCCGATGGTTGTCCCGATAGTTTTTGTCCCGATGGTTGTCCCGATGGCTGTCCCGATGGTTGTCCCGATGGCTGGTAGATAGATAGATAGATAGATAGATAGATGTTGTTAGATGTTGTCCCGATGACTGTCCCGATGGTTGCCCTTTGGTTGTCCCGATGGTTGTCCTGATGAGTGTCCCAATGGTTGTCCCGATGGTTGTCCCGATGATTGTCCCGATAATTGTCCTGATGGTTGATAGATAGATAGATAGATAGATAGGTAGATAGATTGAGAGATAGAGAGCCAAATAGATATCTATAGAGAGAGACATAGACAGAGAGATATATAGAGAGAGATATTTAAATAGAGGAATAGAGAGAGATATCTATACATATAGATATATATTATATATGGATACATATGTATATAAGGTAGACATGTAGGGAGATTGATTGATTGGTAAACTGATAGACTGCTATGTTGTTAGATAGATAGATAGATAGAGATAGATGGTTGTCCTGAATAGGTAACTAGATGTATAGGTCGATAGATAGATGGGCAGGTGTGCGCGACAAGCAAAAATACCAGAAACCACCAAAGATCCTGGACCCACCGCAAATCGACCGTCTCCCCCTTCCCAACCAAACTCCTAATCACCCGCAGGGTGGCCCTATCGGAAAAATGATTCGTATTAGGCTGCTTCTGCTTCGCATTATTAGTTTTTGCTTCTTGTAATTAGTATGAGGGTTCTTAGTGTTCTCCTTCGTGTTCGTGTTAGTGTAACTGTTCACCATTCCTCCGCCTCCTCCGCCTCCTCCACCATCTCCTCCTCCTTATCCTCCTATTCCTCATCCTACTCGGTCATCGGCATCATCATCATCACCATCATCATCAGCATCATCATCAACATCAGCATCATCAGCATCATCATCAGCATCATCATCATATCAATCAGCACCACCATCATCATCATCAGCATCATCATCGAGATCAGCATCATCAGCATCATCATCATGATCAGCATCATCATCATCATCACCATCATCATCATCATCATCATCATCAGAATCAGCATCATCATCGTCAGCAGCAGCAGCAGCACCATCATCATCATCCTGCTCCTCCTCCTCCTCCTCTTCTCCTTCTCCTCTTTCTCCTCCTCCTCCTCCTCCTCCAGCTCCTGCTCCTGCTCATGCTCCTGGTCCTCCTCCTCCGCCTCCGCCTCCTCATCCTCCTTCTCATCATCAGCAGCATCAGCATCAGCATCAGCATCATCCTCCTTCTCATCAGCATCATCATCAGAAGCATCATCATTATCAGCATTATGACCCTCATCATCCTGCTCCTGCTTCATCAACGATGGAAACAAGATCGACCCCACCACAGTCGGCGCGACATTCCCAACGCGACACTTTGAACAATGCAATATAAGTTAGAGTGCACATCGGCAGGCATAGCATGCTTGTGGCATTCACTCTGACTGAACATAGCTTGATTTCAGAAAGCGCGCTTGAATCTTGCAATTCAACGGTGTGCTTCCCAGTTTCACCAAATCCGGCGGCCCCCTAGGGGGCGCAAGGCTGTGAAGGTTGTTTGGTGTGCACTTGGTGTGTGTGTGTCTCTTGTTTCTCCGATCCTATTGACATGCTACGCTCTACACTGCCGTGACAAAAGTTCGAAGGGTTTTCGATGATCGGTGGAACTCCTGCCCCTCTCAAGAGTCCCAAAATGACTTTCGGATGGCGGTGTTCTGCAAAGTAGTTTCGGCCCCTACATGGCATGTAGAATTGTTAGTTCCCGCGCCCAAGCATACGATTCTTCGCACGGGATGCGACTTCACGCGGCGTAGATACAAATTATTCCAACAACAATAACAACAACAACAACAACAGCAGCAACAACAACAACAACAACAACAACGACAACGACGACGACGACGACGACGACGACAACAACAACGACAACGACAACGACAACGACAACGACAACAACAACAACAACAACAACAACAACAACAACAACAACAACAACAACAACAACAACAACAACAACAACAACACGCGGAACCGCGGTAATTGCGAACGAACTCGGCTTGATGAAACTTTCGCCAAGGTTATGTACAAGGGGGCCGCGGTGCCCCCAAAGAACGGTGGAGGCTCACACTCTTGGCCGCCACCGCACGGCCAGTAGGGCCCAAGATGCCCCGAAGACTGCACTGGGAGGCTCCGAAGGGAGCCTCAAGAGCCCAGGACGGCCCAGGATGGCCCCAGGACGCCCAAAAATAAGCACAAGACGGCCGCAGAGGCGGAAGAAGCGCGCACATACGCCAAGGCCTTCAATTCAATTCTGGATTTGACATGAGAGCTCCCAGCACCTCACGTTTGCACAGCGCTGCTCGTCAGAATCGTCAGACTGAGAGCATGCCGTTTGAGATAGTAGACAGCCGCAAGGCAATTCACACGAGACGCCCTGCCAGGGCCAAACAACAAGGGGCTCGAGAAAGCAAATCACAAAGATGGAGCAGAAGAGACCATCACTTCGCCGCATCCTCGTTCAGCGTGGGTACCTCATCATTGGAGTGTTTCTCGGCCGTGCCGTCCTCGGGCGCCGACTCCTCAAGCCAACGACGAACAATGCATCAGAACGCGGGCACGGTTGTCCAGCTTCTCGCTGGCACAAGCTATACGCCCAGCTCGACATCCGCTCCGCACATCTTGACTACATACCCGCTGGCGCCAACTGCGCACACAATTGCGCACACACGCAGATATGTGTACCTCACCGGCTAGCCGTAAACATTCCAGTGTTCACGCCACACACCATGCAGTCTACTGATGATCTGGGAACCCCCTGACGCGCGAAGGAGCTGTACACCCTGCGAGATGCTTAAGAAATCATGGGTTAAGAAATTCATAGTCTCAGAACTTGAGTAAAAACCCAAAATTTCCACTCAAATCTTAGGATTTACATTGAAACATTAAGAATAATCAAGACCCTGGCCAAAAAAATAGGTTTTCTTAAGCATCGCCTAAGGTGTAGCTGTTTGTGGAGCTCTGCGACTCACGACGGCCTGCCTCCCAAGCGAGACAGCCGCCTGCCTCCCGCGACGGCCTCTTGAGCACTCAGGCAGCAACATGTGAGCCCCACCCATACCGGCCACAGATTTGGACGAACAGAGATTCACCAACAAGGCACCGCTTCGCTCGCGCCCTCTCGCCATTCCGGCACCACCACGGAGGGGGGCCTTCTCCTTCTCACTTCCCCCCCTGAACTTGGTTGGATGTTGGGTCGTAACTCGGCTCTCTGGTGGCCGTTCGGGACGATGCGGGCACACCCGGAACGCTTGCAGCAAGGCGCAGCCGCTGGAACGCATCCCGAGGGCGGAAAGCCGCCAGGAAACCACGAAAACGTCCGAAAACCTCGAACCCGAAATTACAACCCCCCCCTCGCTCGCCGCCGAAGTCCATGGATCGGATCTGGTGGAGACGGGCGTCGAATCGGGCCGCAGCAGCACTCCCTCGGCATCGACCCGGAGCGGCCATGCCAGGCTGCACAAACAGCGCCATGCAGGCATCGGGCCGCGCTGGGAGCGTCGGAGCATGGGAATCGGACCGCACCGAAGCCGACACCTTTTCCGGATGGATCGGATCGAAGCGGGCCCCGAAGAGGGCGATCGCCGGTCGTCGACAGGCTGCACTTCGCCACTGAGCACTGCCTGGCGCCGAGGCGCTCGTCGAGCACTCGAGCGACACGCCGCCGCGCCGCGTCGCTGCTGAGTGAGATCGCCCCACAAGCGGAGCCCATTTGGAGACTCCGGCTGGCCGCAGAGGAGCGTGCGCGCTCGCTGGCGTTTGGGACTCGGAGAGCGAGCGCGTGGGCGATCACGCCTGCGGCGAAGTGGGCACGGCGCGGCCCGAATTCCAAGGGTCGGCCGAGGAGCTGCTCAGGGAAAGCAAATGCTGGGGCAGCGCACGGTCGAAAAGGCCAGTGGCGGCGGTTGGCGGCGCGCAGATTGATCAGGATTTCTGCAGGTTGGCGGCGCGCAAAAGCTCGAGGGAGGAGGGAACAGACAATACAGACTACAAAACTTCCCCAAAATGCATTCTGAGCCTTCTCCGACCCCCCCCCCCAAAAAAAAGAAGGCTCCTCAAAAGGCCAGAGGGCTTCTCGGAAGCCCCGCCAGTCTTCTGAGAAGGCCTGCCCCTCCTCCTCCTCCCTCCTCCTCCTCCTCCTCCTCCTCCTCCTTCCTCCTCCTCCTCCTCCTCCTCCTCCTCCTCCTCCTCTCTCCTCCTCCTCTCCTCCTCCTCCTCCTCTCCTCCCTCCTCCTCCCCTCCTCCTCCTCCTCCTCCTCCTCCTCCTCCTCCTCCTCCTCCTCCTCCTCCTTCCTCCTCCTCCTCCTCCTCCTCCTCCTCCTCCTCCTCCTCCTCCTCCTCCCTCCCCCTCCCCGAAGAGGGCCTCCGAGGCCATGGTCGGGGCCGTGGCGTCTCCGCATCGCCCCGCGCCCTGTGGGCGGGGCGGGGCGATTGCCCCCAGAACCCCCCCAGTCACTATCCGAACTACGACCCGAGCAGGGGCAGCAGCACATCCCTCGAGAGCATGCGACCCTCAGCTGGGACAGACGGGCCATCCCTCAGGGTACCCTTCCCCAGGACGCACGAGAGCATGCAGCAGCCAAGCGCGAAGAACACGAGTGTGCCCTCCCAAGACCGACCTCGATCTCACAGCGGAGGCCGGTCCACAAGAAACCTTCCACAAGAAACCCGACCCTGAGACCCCAGGACGTCCATCGACTTTTGGTGTGGGAATGTCACGCTTTCCACAGCAAAACCATCGAAACCCAAGGAACCCGGGTCTCCACTGCACGACAACCAACTGCGAAGAACATCAGGGCGCCCTCCCCGAACCCACTTCGATCCTACCTCTCGGCCCGACGGTACCTCGCCACACTCGTGTGTTGCTAGAAGTGCCCCTGGCCCACAGGTGCCCCCGGCTTTTCGCTCCGTTTTGGAGCCCCTGGGGCCCCCTGGGCCTCGCGAGGGGTGCCCTGGAGGCCGCCCGGGGCACCCCGAGAACCCTGGGGGGACCCTGGGCCAGGGGCACCTCCAGCAACACCCGCCACACCGCAATCACCAGACTCCCCTCGTCTGCCTCCCGGAGGGCACCGAGCGCACGCCTGCCCACCGATCCTGGTCCAGGCCGACCATGGGCCCGGGATCGGTGCGCACGCCTGCATGGGGGGGGGCCTGGCCAGGATCGGTGAAGGTATGTGGTGAATCGGTCGTTGGACAATGATGAAGGGGCCCAGGGACACACAAATAAATACGACACACGGATCCCAGGATTCGGCATATATTCATATATTTTCTGGACTTTCGTCTTCCCCCCCACTTCCCACATTTTCCCGTCTTTACCTGGGAGTCGACGAATAATTGTATCTGTGTGTTTTCCCCTCCTGCAAGGGCGGCAGGTTCGCAGGGCGTCAGGAATGGTAAGAGAGGAGCTAGGCGAGGGCGTCCCAAGAGGGAGGCCAGAAGCGCATGGATGTGGCCAGGGAGGGGGTCCCTAGAGGCCAAGGAAAGAACGAGAGCATCCAAACCCTGAGTCGCCAGACTTCGACCCTCCCGGAGGGAGGGGGTGGCATGGAGGCGCAGGAGGAGGTAGCACACGATTGGATTGGCCAATGTCTTGAGGTCTGGCTTGCCCTGCCGATTCCAGGTCGCATGTGGAAGCTTCGGTGCAAACCGTTGCCCCCCAGCAGCCGTCCAGAATCCTATCTAAGCGCAGGAGGAAGAAAGAGGAGGGAGATGAAAGAGATGGAATGAGGGAGGAAGAGGAGGAGGACGAGGAAGCGGGAGAAGGGAGGAAGGAGGACAACTCCACCCTCTTTGTTTCTTTCCCTTGATCTCTACTCGCCTCCTTCATCACAGCACGGAAAGCACAAGCGATGCTACACCCAGTGAACAAAGATGACTGAACACACAAAGCGCGCCCACTGCTCTTCGAGTGCGAGGACGAACGAAACAAACACTCAATGGGCTTCGCCGCGTCCTTCTCCCCAGCAGACTTCGCAGCATCGTCATCCTCAGGGGGGTTCGCGTCTTCAGGCGGGTTCGCGTCCACGTCCTCGGGCCGAATTCTATGGTGGAACTCTCTGTGGATTACGCCCTGCTTGACCAGAGTGCACAACCATTCGGTCAACATTGCGCTTCCTCGGACGCTTTCCAAAACTCCCAGTGGGCACTCATTAGATCATCTTTCCGTGTAGACACGTCACCATTTCTGACACTCTATGCTTGTACCTGTCGGGCAGTGGCAACCTGCCCGCTGCCCGCCGCACACTCTCTGTTGCAGCCTTGGTCCGAGCGACCCCCATCAAAGAGTAGCACTGAATCAAGGTGCAAGCTCCCACTGTGTGACAGAGATGCCTGGTATTGATGAGTGTTGCTGTTGTGTGTCCCTGCTGTGTGCTACTGGTGCCCATCATTGGGGCCTGAACCTGGTTTGCGCCCATTACTGGAACAGGAGATTCGTGTGCGTGTGTGTGTGTGCGCGTGTTGCTGGTGTCCGCGTGTTCTTTATGATGCTGGTGTCTGCTATTCGTAGGTGTCCTTGGTGTAGACGCCACCGATCACTGAGGCGGGCGCGACTTGGAGTGTCCTCAAGTGGATAGAACTCAAGGGGCCCGAAGACACACAAACAAATACACACAAATAAAAGGATGCCCCATATTTTCCGATATTTTCTGGGCTTCTGTCTTCCCCCCAATTTCACATTTTTTCCCCATATTTTCTTGGGAATCGACGATTAATTGTGTCTGTGTGTTTTCTTCCCTCCTGAAAGCTCTCCTGGGGCGCACCGCGTGCCCGCGCACTCCCGAGAGCCTTGCGGTGGAGCCCAGCGCGCCGCCCCACGACAGGCCGAGAGGGGCCCGAAGCGGCACCCAAGACGGTCCAAGATGGCCGGGGAGCGCTGCCAGATACCCGCAATGGCCCCAAGAGGGCCCAAGATGCACCTAAGATGGCCCAAGGGAGCCAGAATAGCCCCCCAAAGAGGGCCCCGGGAAGCCAAGAGCACTGATCCCCCACAGGTTTCGAAAAAAAGGACTCCAACATTCTCGCCTTTTCGAACCCCCGACGCTCCAAGGCAACCCAGAAAGCCCCCGGGAATGCCCCAAGACGGCATAGGAAGAGGGCCCCCGCACGGCCCAAGAGGGCCCAAAGAAGGCCCAAGAGGACCGTAAGAGGCTCCCAAGAGACCAAGCAGGGCCCAAAGGAGGCCCCCGAAGACCGGGAGCACGAATCGGCACTTCAAGCAATCCGCCCCAAGATAATGCCCGAAACCGCGAGCAGGCCCCCAAGAGGCCCTCAAAACTTCATAGGGCCCCGCCGCAAGATCCCCCCAAAAGGCCTATGACAAGCCTCGAAGACACCCCAAAATCCTCTCAAAGAAGTTCCCGACAAGCCCGAGATGCCCGCAGGCACCCAGGAAGCCTCTGACCTACAACTCACGCGCGCGCGGCTCAGGAATGGGGCGAAGGCCACTAGATGTTACTGATATGCGTAATTGATGCATCCTCGCGGAGCCCTACTAGCGGCGGCGCGGCAGCGGTAAAGGGTGATGAATGCGGCGACGGCGATGCCATTGCACGGGCGGCGGTGCCAAGGGCCTTGCACGCAGGGCACCTGCCAGACCCAGGAACTCGACGCTCCAATGCGTCTGGGGGCGGATCCTTCTGGAACGGCCGAGTGCCTGAGCCCAAATGGCCAGAGACGCCGGGCAAGGGAGAGGACACGCTGTCGCGATGGCACACGGGGGCGCATCCTCGCAAAAAAACCTACCAGCGACGCGGCAGCTGTACAAGGGCGGCGATGGAAGTGGCGGCGACGCTCCTGTCATGGGCGGCGATGTATGGGGGCCCTGCACGCCGGGCGCGCGCCGCCCCCGGGATCTCGATGCCCCCCTCTGCGACGGGAGTGAGACACCAACGCAAACGCGGGGGAGATAAAAAACCCGGAGACGAGGGGGGGGCGCCCAACCCCCCGGTCGCGGCGAGCATCGAAGGGCCCGACCGCCTTCGCACCCCTCTCCCTCCTGCCATCTCTTCTGCGACACCGCCACCGCCGATCGCCGCTCGCGCGCGCTCGGGGGGGGGGGGGGCAACCCCGCGCGTCCTCCAGAAGGGCCCCCGAGGTTGAGGCACCACCACCCCCGGGCCCCAGCCCCCCCCCCCGCAGAGGAAGGGCGGGGGAGGTAGGGGGCCCGCGCTGTGGAAGAGCCCATAGGGCCGCGCAACGAGCCCCCCTACGCGGGGGAGCCCCGCCCGGACGCGGTCCAGGGCGAACGGTCGACGGCGCCTGAACGGGCATGTATTCCGAGCGGTCATTCGCTGCGACTGCAGCCCGCGGCGCCACGGCGGACGCGGCCCCCTGGGCCGCCCGCGGGCCGCCGCCCCCTCGCCAGCGCCTTCCCCTTTCAAGGGCGCCGCGGCAGCCGCTCCAGCTCCGCCCGCACGACGTCGTCCGAGACGCGCTGAACGGGGCCGCCGCCGCGGCCCAAGGCGCCCGCATCGCCCGCTGCCTCCGCGGCCGCGCCCAACTGCGAGAGCCCTGTCCGAGGCGGCCGCCCTCCCCTCGACGATCGACTCGTAGAGATCTCGACGCCTGCATCGTCTCGTCGAGCACGTGCACCTCGAGGTTCGCGGCCGCCCCGTGGATTCTCGGGGGCGCGGCGAAGTCCGTCGTCTCCGAGTTGCCGAGGTCGCCTGCCCCCTGTTTCTTCTCGCGCGGTGGCGGGCCCAGGCCCAGCGCCATCTCGCGTGGCCCGCGCCCCTCCGGCAGCTATATGAGGAGGACCGCCCACGGCCACTTGGTCGACATGGCCCTGGTCACTGCGTGGGCGCCCCCAGGGTTGTCCGCGAACCCCGCCATCTCGATTTCCGCCCTATGGCGGAAATCACCCGGCCTCGAGAACGGCCACACGCAGATAAGCGCGCCGAGAAGCTCCAGCGCCGCGACGACCCTGTCTGGGTTGTCTGCAACGCCCACTCCCAAAAAGGCCCCAGCGCACGCCAACCGGCTCCTCACGCGCTGCCATTCGGCGGCACTTCCCCGCCGCCCGTCCAACAGTGCGCCCCCATCCTCCTTCGCGCTCGAGCGGAAGTCTCCAGCGCTCTCGGTTCTGAACTTGCTGGGCGCCTCCAGACTCTGCCCACATGTCAGCGCTTGCCGATCCCCGCCAGCGCGAGCCTGACCACCCGCGGCAGAGAGACCCCCCCTCCGCCTGCCCTCGCGACGCTGGCGACCCAGGAGCACGCAGGCTCCGGGAGTGGCCTTTCCCAGACGAGGACAGTCGCCGCCGAACCCAAGCGCCGCGAGCCCGCCGCCACCTCGCCCGCGCGGACGACGCCGCGCACGACTGCCCCCCAGCGCCAGGCCGCCCTCGCCCCCGAGAGGCCCACGGCACAAGTGTCGCAGCCGCCGCAGAGTCGGACCCAGGCCCAGCCCACCCCGAAGCCGCCCCGCGCCCTGGCCCCCCGAAACGGGCAGACGCCGAGTAGGACGGACATAAAGAGCGCCGCCAATCACCCGCGACACCCCGCTCCGATCGCCCACGGGCCATCGGCGCAGGTGAACTGTTCCATTGGCCGATCGCTTCCCAGCCATTGAAGGGTCGCCCGTCGTCCGGCCCCGAGCCGCCCGGTTAGGATGTTTGGTAAAACTAATGGATCTCCCCGTTTCCAGGACTGGCGCGGGCTGTCTCCTGCGGTCCCCTCGCTCCTGCCCTTGCCCTCTTGCTTGCCCTCTCTCGCTCCTTCTCTCTCACCGCCGCTCGGCGGCTCAAGCCTTCCCGAAGGCCAAGCTGGGGGTCGACCTCAGTTGGCCTAAGGCTGGGCCCCGGGACCGGGGCGGAAGACTTTCGGGACCTGGGACCGGGCCCGAAAGGGGGCGCCCGCGGCCGCATGGAGCCGCGCCTGGCGCCGCGCGGCTGAGGGGCGGCGGCGCCGCCGCCCGAGGGCGCGCAGCTGCGCAGCGGCGGAGGGCCCGGGCGCCGAGCGGCGCCGGCTCACGCCAGCCGCGGAGCACCCGGGGGCGAAGGGGCGGCCGCCGTGGCACGGCAGCCGCCCGCCGCCGAGCGGGCGGCCAGGCGCGCGCCAGCGCCGGCGCCGGCTCATTGCCAGGCGAGGGCGGCGAAGCGCGTACGTGCGCCGGGGCCCGCCTGGAGGAGCTGCCCCGGGGCCCCGGCGCCGTCGTCCGCCGGCAGGCGCCGTGGCCGAGCTGCAGCTCTGCTCACGATCCTCGTGGTGATGGTGGAGGCGGCCGGCGCCGAGCTCACGCCTGGGCATGTGGCTCCCGCCCACGAGGCCGAGCACGCGTACTACGACGACGAGTCGAACGTGGACATGAAGGGGTTCTGGCTCGACGGGCCCATGGACTCCTCCTCGCCCGAGGACGCACTGCCGGTCGAGGCTCACTCCACCAGCGGGCGCGCCGCCCCGGCGAGGGGCGCTGGAGGGGGGCCGCCGCGCGAGCGCTCCGCGCCGCCGGCTGACCCACCTCCTCAGGGCCCGACCCCCCCCCCCCCGACCCCTCCGACGGGGGCCCATCGTGCTGGATCAGGGGTTGGGGTCGTTTCGGCATCGGTTGGACAGACATCGGCAACCGCACGCACTGGTTCGCCGAGGGGATGGGCGGGGGCACCTTCAGGGCTGTAGGGAGCTTCAGGTCTGCCTTCTCGACTCGCGAGGCAGGAGGCTGGCTGAGCTCCGACGGCGGCTGGGTGCTGTACATGGCCGACCAGGTGGGCCTCTACCTGTTCGGCTCCGCGTGGCCGCTGGTCGCCGGGCTCGCGGCGATCCTCTCCGGAACCGGCATGGTCGCGCTCCTGGCCCACAGCCTGAGGACGCTCTTCGCGCCCTGCAGCTGGGCAGCCTGGACATGCGGTTTGGTGCCGGCATGCTGCCCCTGCCCGAGGCGCAAGACGCCTGGCGAGGCTAAGCTTGACAAGCTGGTCCCGCCGGCGGCCCCGCCCCTCACCGACGCGGCGTGGCACGGCCCAGCCGCGGGCGCGGACCCGACCACCGACTGGTACCGCAAAAACATCAAGGAGGGCAGGGGCTCCAAGCG